TCTAGTATCTAGTATGGACCCTGAGACTGCACTATCTAGTATCTAGTATAGACCCTGAGACTAAACTATCAAGTATCTAGTACAGATCCTGAGACTAAACTATCTAGTATCTAGTATGGACCCTGAGACTAAACTATCTAGTATCTAGTATAGACCCTGAAACTGAACTATCTAGTATCTAGTATAGACCCTGAGACTAAACTATCTAGTATCTAGTATAGACCCTGAGACTAAACTATCTAGTATCTAGTATAGACCCTGAGACTAAACTATCTAGTATCTAGTACAGACCCTGAAACTGAAACTAAATATATCGACCAATTACTTCTCATAAAAGTATGGTTGAACACCTTGAGGCAGGTTAAGCCAGGAGAGTTTAAGAGAACATGTATACAGACATCTTGAAAAATATACCAGTTCTAGATTAACAGGAAAGATGATAATAAATTTTTTAAAAAAGAAAAATTCAAGAAAAACAAGAAATGTTTTTAGAAATGGATAAATTTATATGAAGAAAATGCTAAGATGAAAAAATAATAGATTGAGGGGTATAAAGTAAAGAACCAGGTCTAAATAAATTGCTCATTTATTGGGTTTAAATTGAACTAAAAACTTGATAGAGATATCCAAAACTTCGAGAGGAGCAAAACAGATACCCTAGGCATTTATGACCCTGTACTCCCCCCCCCCTCTCTCTTCCATTCCCCTCCCGCACAACAACTACAAAAACCTAACGAATTGCGAGTTCATCAATTGCAAAGATGGTCAATAAACATAGACTAAGAAGACGACATTCGGAAGATTAGTCCCCATCATAGTCCCCACTCGTCCGTATTAAAAACTCGGATTTCGGACCAAACCCAGAAAAAATTATAAAATTGGGACTGAAGACCCTTTATTTACGTCATGTCCTCTTAGCTCAGTATCTAATCAATTATGTGGAAAATATATAGTCGGTTTTCTAGTTTTAATCGACGAATCAACGAATGGACCATGCCAATCTATTAAAAATAACTTTGAATTAGGTCTGCGCAGACTATAAAAATCCTTCGCATTTTTGTCTAACCCTAGCCTTAGGGCTGTATAGAACTTAAAGCCAGGTTGTTGTATAAAATATCTACTGGTAAAGATTTCTAAACTGTGTAGATTAATACTAGAGCTTGACCCCTGTATACCAATCGCCTGAAGCTTTGCACTGCTTTGAAAATCGTCCTTAACAAAAAAACAATCCTCAAACATTGAAAAAAAATGTATCTTTTAACAATCGTGCAAAAAAAATAACCAACCGTCCTAAGAACTGGAAACCTGTGTTTGAACTTTGTCCTGAGATACAGGGTGTCCCATGGAACATGACTGTAGCAAGACGACTTGAAAGTCGTCTTTGAATTTTGATATAATTTACTGCACTCATTTGACAATCTAATTTTAGAAATAAATCGATACAGTTAATAATTACAATGATAAGAAGAATTTTGTTCAGATCTCAACAATTTTCGTTTTTTCAAATAAATTGAAATCTGAACGAAATTCTTAATATCTCCGGTAATATTGACAGCACAAAAATGCAGATCACATTTTAGAAATGCCTGGACTAGAAGATTTAGTGATTATTGTTTCAAGAATCATACATGTTAAATTAGGTTGACGACTGAATGTCACAAATAAATTCCAGTGTCAAAGACGACTTTCAAGTCGTCTTGCTACTGTCATATTTCGTGGGACACCCTGTATATGAAGTAATAAAATTGGTTTAATCGCTATGGTAGACCTAACCTTGATAAAGCTAAATCTACGAATATTTGTGTGCAATACAACTTTGCTCCGTCAACGATAATAAGTTGCGTCCCCACGGGACCAAAAGAATGATTTGTATATTAACTAGATTTCATACTTCTACTAGAATATCATGAATATAATATAAAAACATCTATTTCTTCTTCTATATAGTATATACAGATCGTTTCATACAGTGGTAGACGATTATATCAATATAATGAAGACCACTTTCGAATTGAATTTTGATTTATACACAAAAATATGGAAACAAAGAGAAGCAGTCAATTTCAAAAGCTTCTCTTTCATTACTTGTAAACTTTTACTTTGAAAAAACTTAAATAGAAAGGTCGTCTTGATTATATTGATACTATCGCTTACCCCCGTATCATTATCTCCCAGCTTTAACGCCAAAATACGCATTTTCTGTCTGCCTATTTTTATATTATGCTTATACAATCTTTTAAAATGATTCATTCATTTTGAATTTTCTTTTTAGCCCCTGAAATCGTAATTTAGAGCTAAATACAATCCAATATTACGTGGGACACCCTGTTTAATTTTAAGTTAGGCACAGGGTTTCCCACAAAACATAACTTGAATATCGCCTTTGAACTTTAATGTTTATCTAATGAAAAAATTGCATCAAACGAGTCATACGCCCTTTTTTTGGATCAAAGACGACCTTTAAGTCGTCCCTCAAGTGTTTATTGGGACACCCTGTATTTTCAACACTTCCAGGTTTCAATTTTTTACTTGGTCTGAGACTTTTTGTTTAACATTTATTCCTTTCTCAGTACACAAGAGATTAAAGATGTGTCTCAAAACGTGATCGATTTAAATCAATGATAGATTGAATTTAACGTAGCATCCAACGCAACCTTTTCTATGTCCGATACCACCCAGAGTTCAATATAGAGAACCCATCCTTCCTGTATATTCTACCACCCGGAGAAATCCCCCACTGTCAAACCAGTTGTTCAAATATACAAGAGATCCTTAGATCTGATATATGCTAACTCCTCATCCTACCGAACCCTACTGGGATACCCTTAGATAATATCTTTACTAAAATGTAAACATTTGTAAACATTAGATCCTACACCTAGGCGGATTGAAGATGGAGGGTGGGGGGGGTATAAGAAGGGGAGGAGAGGATCGAATTCATAAATTCTCTAAAATGGAGAATTTAATGGGAGGCGGAGGGGAGGGGCAACTTTAATTTATCTTGAAGAAAACTAATGTTCCCGTCGCATAAATTAAACCCCTCCCCAGGCTTTACCCCCCCCCCCCCTCCATCCCTAAAACACATTGAGCTTTATTTCAAAATTTTCTAAGCTCGAGATCAATAAGAATTCTAGTTTTCTTTTTAACCTTCTCTGAGCTCAGGTTTAAAGGGACAGACCGGCTATGTAAGGTAGTTAAACTGAGTATGCAGTGTTGTGGAAAAATTCTTTAGGATTAATTTGAGATATAAAAAACTTTTAAAAGATCTGTAAATCCTGAGTTTGAGCTCAAAGTCGACATTCAAAATCGTACTTTTCGGTAAATACGTTTTCAGAATGGTTTTTACTTAATTATTAAATTACGACGACAAAAAATGTAAACAAAATTCTACAGTAAACTAATTAATTGTTTAGGTTCAAGTTGAGAAAATAAAAATTAACTCTTATCATCGAAAATAAGTAATCTTATTCAATTATTATTTTTTACAATCTCTCTTTAATCACAAAGATTTTCTAGAATTTTATTGAAAACACGACATTTGGAGAATTTGAAGAAATCTGCGAACAAATTCATAGAAAATAAGAAATTCAATATAATGATGAAAAAGGAAATAATTAAAATTCTAAATTCTGTTGAGAAATATGTTCCTAAACATCTAATTAGTTTACTATAGAATTTTTACTATATTTTTCGTCGTCGTTATTAAAGAATAAATTCATGATTTTGAACGTCGACTTTGCGCTAAAACTCAGTAATTATACATCGTGGAAACGTTTTATATATCTCAGATGAATCCTAAAGAATTTGTCCACAACACTGCATACTCAGAATAGAAACGATTACTCGTCTCAAACTCAAACTTTCTAATCCTTTTACCTTTGCAATCTGATGTCGAAAAACATTTTTAAACTGTGAACTCTTCTATATCAAACACTCAATGTTTGAAATAACCAATGGCTTACACCATCATGTTGCCAAGATATGTTGATTAGGAAGTTGAGTTTGAGTAGAAATGTTGGAAGCTCAGACCGTAAACTATGTAATAATGAATGTAAGGAAGGATGAAAATAAGAAGTTCTCACACATCTCTTGAGAACTGGAAACCTGGAGGAGTACAATCGGACGGAAACCAATTTAGATTTTATCTCAGACTTTAATTTCTGTTTCCTTATTTCAGATATAATCCCCCCTCAGATTCATGATTTAAATATCTATAATATCTTATTTCTATCTCAAGGAAATTTTACTTAACCAAGGATTCCCAAGACCAATATTGCCTACAAAACATCAATGAAGATTGGAAAAATTGTCTAGAACTGTAAATAGACAAGTAAAAAATAAGATTTCTACAACAAGACAAAAATATTTGACTTTTGAATATTGAAAAAAAACATTTTCAATCAGTTTCTCAGATTAATAAGAAATGCAATTTTAAAATTTTTTCACAAATAATTTAAAATTTATAATATAGAACTTAATGGGTCATATGCCCTGGTGTTTACATCCGCGTTCCATATATCAATATTTTCCATTTTACACTTACATCACTGTACTTGCAAATCTACCAATTTAAAACATATTATTAATTTTTTTATCATTTAAATTATATGTTTCTGTCACTTTCAATTTTTCGATGTGAATATATTTCTATATTTCTAGTTGTCTTTTTTTGGTATCTATGTATCTATGTATCTTTGTATCTATGTTTCTATGAGTCTATATATCTCGCTATGTATCTATGTATCTATGTTTCTATGTGTCTATATATCTAGCTTTGTATCTATGTTTCTATGTTCTATATATCTAGCTATGTATCTATGTATCTGAAAGAAATCCACCTGTTGCAAATTGCAATAACGTGAATCTATATAAAATGTTGTGAATCTTAAAACTCACATCTCTAAGCTTTCTAACTAATGAATCTGCTTCAGGTCAATTTCAAAAGAATTTGGTGAAAAATGTTCCAATTTTCTTATTTAAATTTATGATAATGAATATACCTGAACTTCTTGAATAAGTTCTTGTTTATCAAGAAGAATTATCTTGACATGGAAGGATTTACTTGGAGCCAGACACCCCATTCCTATCCATCCCATCTCTAGGTGTTAAATATCACTGGATCACTTCATCACTCATTTATCCCTTTCCTAAACACTTGGCAATAAGTGCACTGTTAACAGTATGAAAGCGTAACGGTTGTGTTGTAAGGTCTAGAAACGATTCTACGATACTGCCTTGTAGTCCGCTCATATCTCTAGACGTTGAAATCCCCCGGCCCTGCCCGCCCTCACTACACACACACACACCACACAAATCTGGGAAATTTCACATCTTGCTAGGAGAGCAGTGTAGACGCCTGAGGGAGGGGGGAAAGTAAGAAAGGAGAGGGAAGGGTTTAGATTGAGGGGGAAGTAACAAGGGGAGAAGGTATGCAGGAGAGGGGGAAAGAAGGGTAAGCAGAGGATTAAATCATGGGGAGATATGAAGGAGTAAAGAGAAGCGTGAAGGATGCATAATCAATTCTGATATAATGGAATGCATAGATTTTCCATTTATTACAATTTAGTAATATTCAATCATAATCTATCTATTGGGCTTAATCCGAACCCCCCCCCCCCACTGTGATTTAAAGGTTGCAAGCTCTCAAGCAAAAATCGATGAGAATTTTGCCAATTGCATTTTAAAAACAAAACTAACCTTAAGTGCTTTATTGTGCTAAAATGTACATGTAAAGGTCTAAAGAAAAGCATAAGTGAGTTAGAGCCGTAAAATAAAAGACCAAGGCGTTGCAACACTTTAAAGTCAACCCTGTCTCCTTATCCTTAAATAATGCAAACAATTTCTTTACTGGACTGATCTCTGCGGCTAGGACAATTAAAGTTGAATAAGGGGGAACGGGTCGTACTCTTGGATATCCCATATCTATCTAAGCTTAGTCTCTACCCGTTATGCATTTCATTCCCTCCCAGACATAGACAGCACTTCAGCTTCAAGTGTTTTAAACTTTATAAAATACAAAAGTCACAAAATCTGGATTATATGATATTGAATTAACTGTACGTCCACGACACAGAGACCTAGACGATAAATCAATTCTTAAGACAAATTAATTCTAAATAGTAATTGATTAATTCATCGTAAATAGTGGTTGATCAATTCTTCAGTTCAATACATCCTAAATAATGGTTGATCAATGATCAATTCTGCATATTAAATCTACCATTCTAAAAAGAATTGATCGATTCTGCAGATATATCCATCCTAAATAGTGGATAATCAATTCTTCAGATCAATCCAACGTAAATAATGGATCAATCTACAAAGTAATTAATTAAGTCTAAACATTAAACCTATACGAGCTACACCGATGATAATTATTCCAATCTATAGATCAAACAAAACAAAAAATCTGCCAAAATGTTGAGATACAAAAACACGTTCAACTTAGATCACACCGTTAATCCTTCCTGGTCTTCTCTCTCTGTTAAAGTTAACTCTTGGAGATGAAACCAACCAATTAATCCCAAAACCTGGTTCAACACACCCAGCCTTAAACACCCTAAAAATACAATTTTTCAAAGTCAGGCGTTGAATTCTCTCTCCTGTAAGGTTAATATACAAGCTGGAGACTATCCGCCCAAAATGTTCCGTAAATGGCGAAAATATGGTTTATGGTGGGTTTAAAGAATTAAACTAATACTCTAGGCCCGAGGGCTCTATACAACTTACAACGGTTTCACTCAGAAACACAGAATTAACAAAATAAAATTCTGAGACAGGGAACGAGAAGAAAAAATGGAAAGGTTTTTGCGAGAAGGAGGAGGAGGCCAGGGGGAGGAGATAAAAGGGTTGGAAGAGGGAAATTGAAAATGCTTTTGTGAAATAACGAAAAGGAATATGAGAAAATGAAAGATATTATTAATGAAGACTAGGAATCGAATATGTGAGCAAAGAGAACAAAGGGAAGAAACCATAGATTTTACTGGTCCAGGAGGTCCAGGAGGGGGCTGAGCCTCCATAGTCTTTTTTAATCGGGGAAAAAAGTGGGAAGGAATATGGAAAAAAGGAGATGAACAGAGAGAATAAGCGGAGTGGAAAAAGGAAAAGAAAGTAAAGAAGAGGTGGAATGGAAGAATTGGGGAGAGAATGGAGAGGTAAATAGGTAAATGGATGGATGAGGAAAGATGAGGAGGGATGAGGAAGGATGAGGAAGTATGAGGAAGGATAACGAAGAATGAGGAAGGATAAGAAAGGATGAGGAGCGATGAGGAAGTATGAGGAAGTATGAGGAAGGATGAGGAAGGATGAGGAAGGATAAGGAAAGATGAGGAGGGATGAGGAAGGATGAGGAAGGATGAGGAAGGATAAGGAAAGATGAGGATGAGAAAGGATGCTAAAGGATAAGAAAGAATGAGGAAGGATGATGAAGGATAAGGAAGAATGAGGTAGGATGAGGAAGGATAAGGAAGGATGAGTATTGGACAGGGAGGATAAAGATGAAGATGTATTGAGATAAAATCTCCAAATACCTCGAGATAACAGAGATAGAAGTAAAATTGTTTTCTTCAAACTGAACCATGAAAATGGGTCTATTTACAGATACACAATAAATATTTATCTATACTTATCTTTTCAACAACTATGATATAGATCTACACCCATTTAGACATTCTCAATTCAACTTTTAAACAAAGTATTCTAAAAACTTTAAACATTTTTCCTATGAATAAACCCTAACAATGGAAAGTCAATATTTTGGTAGAAAAATGAATATTTACGGCACCTTGCTTCTGACAATCTGAATAGTTATAGCAGTTTCTGCCGAGTCATTCATTCATATAGTATTGGTAGAAATGAAGCTGTGCCCCGTATTCATTTCAAGTTTTTATAGATGTTAATTGTATTTGTTTACGTATTTTTTCACTAATTATAAAATATCTTTCTATCTACATTTCTGATTATTTACTATTATCTTAGAAACCCAGCTTTACCTAGAAACTAAGTTTCCCTTTAAAAGTCAACCCACTCAATTTAGAATTTTAAAACCAAGATCAGAAAATTCTCGTGGTTCTACTGTAGTCAAGGGTTAATGATTTGTAATTGTGATCGTACACCCAAACAAAAGGATAGAAAAACAGCGATTACTACTTTATACATATATGTAGCAAATACCTACTTCATAACAAATACCCAAACCCATTGTTCAATCTCAAACTGGGACACAATCGGTTTGTTTTCCCATGTCTCCAGGTACGATTCTTGCTTTACCTTTGTTTTTCCAGCTTCTATATCTTGCTGCACTGCACTGCTCCCAGTCTTCCATCTGTTACTCATTTATCCATCTCCATTTGCTCCATTTTCTGTATTCCCCCCCAGTTTCTGCCATTTTCATCTCTATTTCTGAACCATCCTTGCTAGGTGGTAGCCTAGAATATAAGGTTTCCACAGTATCCAGTGTTGCTATTGCTATCTTGTCTTCTAAGATATCTTCTCGTCTCGTTTCTCTCTTAACAATCCGTTAAACCAAGTACTAACTTAATTCGTCTTCCTTGTAGGTCTGGGCATTTACATCTAATTTTGGGTTCCTTGATTCACGCCGCTGCCATCAGTTTTGTAGCAAATACCTACTCCATAACAATTTACTCGAGACATATCTATCCAGGTCTACTCCTTACCAAGATCAACCAGGACTAACTCTCCGATTCTAAATGCCACACCGGTTCTAAAGGACACAAAGTCCAAATCTCGACCAGGCTTAACTCCCTAGTTCTAAAAGCCACACAGGTAATTTCTTAACTCGTATAATATTCAACGAGAACCGAAAGCTTACTATACTTCTGATAACGAAATCAAAAAAGAGTCTCAATTAACTGACTTTATTTCTTGATTCATGGTAAATTGGGTTATTCACACTGTAATTACAAATTAGGTCCTAAATATGTATTATGCATTAAAATTACAGTTCTGGGTATGATGAAGTTATATCTATCTACAAACATGGACTGGGTTAATTGCATTACAGGATTTGCGCAGTCACTCAAATAGGGTTGGTTTCATTTAAAATTGTATGTAATGTTAGAAAATTTAGGCTTCGCTCAATTGAAACCAGTTTTTGGCAGATTTGAGACGAGGCTCAAATTCAGTAAATTCGGACTCAGGCTAAGAGCATTTCCGTGGTTCTACCGAGTTCTTAATCAAAATTTGAGACAAATCGGTAGAAGGGTTTCTGAGTTATGATCAAACATCCAAACAAAATGATAAAGACTTTAACTGTTCTTCCTCATTCATTTTTCAGAGATACAGATAAAACCTAGATTACTCAGTTACTCATGCAGAACATGGTTATATGGTGTTCTCTGAGAAATCTCTGAATATTCCCACACATCTGCACAATTAATAGTACAGGGGGGTTCACAATACATGAATATTAACATACATCTGCACAATTAATAGTACAGGGGGGTTCACAATACATGAATATTAACACACATCTGCACAATTAATAGTACAGGGGGGCTCACAATACATGAATATTAACACACATCTGCACAATTAATAGCACAGGGGGGTTCACAATACATGAATTTTAAAACACATCTGCACAATTAATAGTAGAGGGGGTTCACAATACATGAATATTAACGCACTTCTGCATAATTAATAGTACAGGGGGTTCACAATACATGAATTTTAACACACATCTGCACAATTAATAGTACAAGGGGTTCAGAATTCATGAATATTAACACACATCTGCACAATTAATAGTACAGGGGGGTTCACAATACATGAATATTAACATACATGTGCACAATTAATAGCACAGGGGAAATTCAGGAAACATGAATATTAACACAATTACTATTCTTAGCAGTACAGTTTAGACATTTGCTCTCAAAAAAATTTTGGTATACTGTTTTAATCTTTAAAAGTGAGTTTTTTTTCTGAAAAAACTTAGATAATTGTAGATTATTTATTTTTGAAGAAAAAAACAATAATATCTCCATCATCGCAATAGGAAAGAAAAAGAATGAAGGGGTGCTCTTAGTTGATAGTTGATATTAATCTTAAATAAAAGTTACTTATATTGTCCTAATATTTTTATTGAATTTAAATCCAATGTTTTTTGGATATCCCTGTAAACAATCTTTCCCAGGTTATAATTTTCTCCAAGATAAAACAATAAAATTTTCAAGTTTACATGATTGAAAATTTTCGAAAACAGAAGAGCTTTAACACTTGATCAAAAGAGCTATTTTCACAATTCACTCTTTAATTGTTTATATTTTTTGCAATAATTGCATTTAACAGTAAATGAGTTTTCTAGAAATTTTAAATAACGAATAAAATATCTAAAGATTTTTTTACTTTTTCATTCTTTGTTTTCTTCTCCCCCACCACCTTAATGAAAGGTCAACTTGATATATTCGTGACCCAGCTCATTAGCTGAGCAACTGACTTTTCAGAATCTATATAACGAATATTCAGTAGTCCATTACACCACTGGGTTATTACAACTTGGAGATCATTCAAATATGTTTTTTCTTCCGCCAGGCTTCATTTAAGAAAACATTAAGTTTAATTTTGATTTTTTCTTACGTTTTCATTTCACCCTTTTTGTTTACACCTTCCTTTTTCTTATTTCTTATTTCTATAAATGAATAAGGAAAAGACACGATAGTTCTAGGATGAAATAAAAGCTGGAAGAATAGATGAGCTAGGGACGATGGCTCATGGATGGAATAAGAGTAGAAAGGATGGATAAATAAGCGAAGAGACATATATCTTCAGGATTAAATAAATGTAGGAAGGAAAAATGAGATAGAGATGAGAACGAAAGCTCCAGGATAGAATAAGAGTATAGGAAGGATGGATGAATTTAAGAAGAGAAGTATATCTTCAGGATTAAATAAATGTAGAAAGGAAAAATGAGATAGAGAAGATAACGAAAGCTCCAGGATAGAATAGGAGTATAGGAAGGATGAATGAATACGCGAAGAGAAATATGTCTTCAGGCTTTAACAAATGTAGGAATGAAAGATAAGATAGAGAAGATAACGAAAGCTCCAGGATAGAATAAGAGTAGAAAGTAGGAAGGAAAGATGAGATAGAGAAGATAAAGATTTAAGTTTAAGAATGGAATAAGAGTAGGATAGACGGATGAATAAGAGGAGAAAACGCTAGCTCTAGGAATGGAATGTAAGTAGGATTGATCAATAGGAGGGAGAAAGTTTCAAGATTAAACAAAAGTAGGAAGAAAAGATGAGTTAGAGGTGAGAAAGATGGCTCTGGGGTGGGAAAGAGTTTGACGGATTGATAAATAATAGAAGTAAAATATATCTCCAGGACTTTAAGACGTAATGAAAGTAGGACGGACAGATGAATTAGGGGAGAGAAGGATAGTCAAGAATGAGAGAAAGCTTCAAGATTAAACAAAAGTAGGAAGGAAAGATGAATTAGAAGAGAAAGATAGCTCCGGGGTGGAATAAGAGTTGGAAGGTTGGATCAAAATGAAAAAAGACTGTAGCTTGGGGAAGGAGTAAGAGTAAGAAGATTGAATAAATCAAAATAAGAAACGAGGATGATATCTCTAGGATGGAATAAGAGTATGAGAGATAGATGAATAAGAGGAGAGAATGATATCTCTAGGATGGAATAAGAGCATGATAGATGGATGAATAAGAGAAGAGAACGATATCTCCGTGAATGAATAAAAGTAGGAAGAAAGTAGGAATGATGGATGCGTCAGAGGAAAGAACGATACCTCCAGGATGGAATGTAAATAGGAAGGATGGATGAATAAGAAAAGAGAACGATATCTCCAAGAGGGATTGAAAATAGGAAGGATAGATGAATAAGAGGAGAGAAAGAGAGTTCTGGGAATGGAATGAAAGTAACATATAAAATAAACTATAGCTGTATGGTGAATGAAAACAGAGAACGATCAGCTCAAAGATGTAATGAAAGAATGAAGGATGAACGTATAAGAGGAGAGAGCGATATCTCCAGGATTGAATAAGAGTAGGAAAGAAATATGAATTAGAGAAGAGAACGATATCTCTAAGAAGGAATTAAAGTAGGAAGGATGTATGAATAAGATGAGAGAACGATATCTCCAGGAAGGATTAAGAACTGTAAGAACGATAGTTCTAGCGAGGACATATTAAAAGAAGGAAGGATGGATGAATCTAAGGAGTGAATTATATCTCCAAGATGGAATGTAAGTAGGAGGAGCGGAGGTTAGGAGCAAATATAAATTCAGAAGAACCAACACTCTCGGAGTCAGATAGACAATGTCCACCGAACCAAGCATATCTCTCAGAAGATGAAAATAATGATTTTTTTTTAAAAACGTGACAAAAAATGTTAGAACTGCGTAAAAACTGTATTTTTGCAAATAAAAAAGATGTTTCTGAAACAAAAAAATGATGTTTTACAAAAAATATGACTAATTCTTCAATTATGAAAAAAAAATTTAAACGGCTTCATGATATGTAGCTTTATGCCCCAAAGTCTCACACGGAAAATAAAGTTTTACGCAAACCTTACTCTAAATGTGGGTTTTCATACCAAATGAACTAGTTTTTGCCACAAACTTAAATTTTCAAAAGCAGAATGCAGAGCATAGTTTGAAATATCAAAGGTTTCAAAGATATCTTGAAAGTTTTAGGCTAAGACTCAGATCCTTTCAAAAATTTTCATCTTTTTCAGAAACTTCAATGCAAAACCTAATCTTTGTGTGTGTTCTTGTTCTTGTTGGATCTACACTTTCCTCTGCAGATCTAGACCAAGGTTAGACAATTAATTAAGATCCAAGAAAAAAGATTTTTTATAAATCTTTTTCAATTTCATCATTGCTTTAAGTTTTATTTAAGTCCTGGAGCTCAAGTAAAACAAATTAACAAATATTTAACACTTGAAAAACTAAATTTTTAATTGCTGATCTAATCAAGGTGAGACACAGGTTAAAACACAGGGACAAAAAATAAATAGAAAAATTATTTTTTGCTATATTTTTCATCTCCTGGAAGCTCATTTAACTAATCTAACAAATCTTTTATATTTTGACAAACATCTTTGAAGTCTTTACTTTTCAAATAATGTCTTATGTTTAAAGGGAGTGTTCGCGAAAAATGAAGGGGGTAGGCTTACGGCTTTTGATCACTACTAATCTTACTTAACTATCTGTTGCGTCTATAAGGATAAAATTTTTAAAAATGACTCATACCGAAGAACATAAAGTCCATACAAATTCAGAAAGTTGAAACATACGACTCGGATTGTAAAAAAATCAATTTAATTTTAAACAAATCATTCAGATATTACAACCTATAATCATTGATAATTTTTCAACGCATTTGTATATAATTGATTTGTCATAATATTTTTTATTTGTTTTATATACAATACACCTAAAACACGTATATTTCCCACGCTAGGTGTCTCCGCCACTGGAATCATTCAGAGCATCGAGAGCGGAGACATCTGGCGGCCAAAAAATCTGTGTTTTAAGTGCATTTTATATAAAACAAATAAAAATATTATGAAATAACAACTATATACGAATGCGTCGAAAAATTATCGATAATTATAGGTTGAAATAACTGAGTTGTTTGTTTGGAATAAAAATTGATGTTTTCACAACTAGAGTCATATGTTGCAACTTTCTGACTTGTATGGGAGCTGCGTTCTACGGTATGAGTCGTTTTTAACAATTTTCTCCTTATAGACGCAATAGATAGAAGTAAGATTAGCAGCGATCAAACGCGATTGTTTTTCGCCGTAAGCCTATACCCCTTTCATTTTTCGCGAACACTCCCTTGAACAACTAAAAGCTCAACTAATTATTGCTTAAAATACGAATACTTTCTATTTTTACATTTCTTAACATTCCCAAAATATGAAAGCGAAAAAGTAATAAAGATATTAAAACACACCTTTATTTCCTTTCTTATTTTTAAATGTAAGCATTTTTATCTGTTTCTTTTCATTTTTGAACATGTTATGTATGTAAGTATGCTTAAGAAAAAAAACGTAGCGTTGGCAAAAAAAAGAAATTTAGTCTATGTCACCCCCAGGCTATCCATGAGCGTACACAAAAAGTTTCAGCCCATTCGGTCCAGCCGTTTGGCCGGCTTATAGTGAACATATATACGAATGTCTTGCTTTATTATATAGATTTAAACTATTGTTGTGGCCATTGCATATTTGTTTTCGTGTTTTTAAAAATTGATATGAGGGCGAGAATATTTCAAATAGTTATATATCAGGGTAGAATAAATAACAATATCAAAAGAGAATATGTGGTGTGTTCGTGGCAAATAATAAACTTTTAAAATTCAGTGATGGTGATGGACCAAACCTCTGTAGAGTAAAAAAGTAGATGTTAGTTCCACATTTATTGAAAATATATTTCGGTCTGGGTTGACCCTAGTCAGTTCTAACGATATAATAACCATCAAAATCGATAAAAAAAAAATAAAAAAATGTAAAATTTACATCAAAAACAGAAGAGATTAATTGCTCAAATGTCCTATTCCATAGTTTACTTCTACACAATAACTTAAATACAAATTTATTAATTGATATTGATTAATATTGCTTAATTTGGTATCACATTAGTAAATGAAAGCTAATAGCTGACATCATCAATATGTTCATTCATATATAAATATATATATATATATATATATATATACTTATATTTATAATCATCTTATTCTTTATTATCTTCAATTCAATTATCAAGTTTTCATTATTCATTTTGAATTTGGAAAACTCCAACGCTGTGGGCCCGTGACCCCCTCGTGATTGTAAAATGAAAACAAACAGACAGTGTTTTGCTTAGCACCCTGGTCGCCAGTCGATCCTAGCCGAAGCACTCTGGCCTCTGTCCTCTATCCGGCGCTGGTCTAAATCAATTTTTTTGACCTAAACTAACAAATTAATGAGATTTTACTTATGGCAGTGCACATTTGAAACCAGATACGCAGGGATCCAAAGGTTGCAAGCACTCACATATGTAATATTTCTAAAATGTACAAATCTAAGGCTACTAAAAAATAAGTAATTTATAGTGAGGTAAAATAAACAATTTGAAGTCCACCAAGGTTTGAAAATCGTTGCAACTTTTTATTGATGTTTGGATCTCTGTGTGTTCAGAAATTCGGAAAAAGAATTTAGTTTTCATCCAAAGATTGACCGACAAAGGATTTGACTAATGACGACCTAAAAATGTTTAATTATTACGGTTAAAGTTTAAATTTTGTTCTCTATCCGAAACGTAAATATATTTCTACAGGCTATTTAATGATTCTATACAGAAAAACATGATTGTAAACCTGCGGGCAAACATGAATGTAAAAATACTAAATATATTCCGCGCAATTATCTCTGAAAGTATTGGACATGAAAACTTTAAAGTTCCTGAACCCGTTACCGCGTGCTGTTTCACATAAGATGACAAGATCGTCTTCATTTTGATTTTATCTTGTTTTTAGACTGGGGTAGAGAGAAGAGAATGTATTCTCATCGAAGCTTTAATCCTGTCAGGAGGATCAGGGGTACCAGGAGGGACGATCCTGCCAGGTAATATATCAGATCCTGCCACGTAATATATCAGATCCTAACAGGGGATTTACAGAATCCTACCAGGGGATATATAGAATCCTACCAGGGGATATATAGGATCCTGCCAGGTGATATATCAGATCCTACCGGATGATATATCTGATCCTAACAGGGGATATAAAGAATCCTACCAGGGGATATATAGAATCCTACCAGGGGATATAAAGGATCCTGCCAGGTGATATATCAGATCCTACCAGGGGATATATAGAATCCTTCCAGGGGATATACAGGATCCTACCAGGGGATATATCAGATCCTGCCAGGTGATATATCAGATCCTACCAGGGAATATACAGAAGCCTACCAGGGGATATATAGAATCATACCAGGGGATATATAGGATCCTACCAGGGGATATATCAGATCCTACCAGGGGATATACAGAATCCTACCAGTGGATATATAGAATCCTACCAGGGGATATATAGGATCCTACCAGGGAATATATAGGATCCTACCAGGGGATATATAGAATCCTACCAGGGGATATATAGAATCCTACCAGGGGATATATAGGATCCTACCAGGGAATATATAGGATCCTACCAGGGGATAAATAGAATCCTACCAGGGGATATATAGGATCCTACCATGGGATATATAGGATCCTACCATGGGAGATATATATGATTCTACCAGGGGATATATAGGATCTTACCAAAGGATATATAGGACCCAGTCAGGTGATATATATAGGATCGTACCAGGGGATATATAGGAGTTTAATCCTGTCAGTAGGATCAGGGATACTAGGAGGGAGGATCCTGCCAGGTGATATACAGAATCCTACCAGGTGATATACAGAATCCTACCAGGGGATATACAGAATCCTACCAGGGGATATATAGGATTCTACCAGGGGATATATAGAATCCTACTAGGGGATATATAGAATCCTGCCAGGGGATATATAGGATCTTACCCGGTGATATATCAGATCCTACCAGGGGATATACAGAATCCTACCAGGGGATATACAGAATCCTACCAGGGGATATATAGGATCCTACCAGGGGATATATAGGATCCTACCAGGTGATATATCATATCCTACCAGGGGATATTTAGAATCCTACCAGGGGATATATAGAATCCTACCAGGGGATATATAGGATCCTACCAGGTGATATATAGGAGTTTAATCCTATCAGGAGGATCAGGGATACTAGGAGGGAGGATCCTGCCAGGTGATATATAGAAGTTTAATCCTGTCAGGAGGATCAGGGATTCCAGGAGGGAGAACCCTGTCAGGTAAATTATAGGATCCTACCAGGGGAGTATTATATATCTATAGGATCCTATATATATATTTATATAGTATCAGGGATATTAAGAGAAAAATATCTGAATAATCAAAGATAATTAATTTTATCATTTTATTTCTTCACCTCAACAGTTTTACAGGTTATTAATGTATATAATTTTGAGAAAAATATATTGAAGTTTTTGTTCGAATTTGTTTTATTAAAAACACTTTAAAGAAAAGTTTTCAAGAGCGCGCTACTAGCTAACAATGCATTTTGAAGAATAATAAAAATAGCTGACACTATGGGGGGAGGACTCTATATATTATGTTTCAGAGAAAGTTAAAAAATAAAAATAATCTTTAAAAGATATATTATTGTTCATGAACAAAATTAACTTTTTCTCAATATCTGGCTGATAATAAAAAAAGTGATTTTAAAGTGACTGTTCACTTAATTTCAAATGACCCTCCATGTCCGTCCAATCAACTCTAAACGATCTAACTAAAAAATGAGTGCTTTCGGAAACCATATGATGTCAATCGCACTGTACTGTGCACTGTACACTGTACAGTGTATACATCGTACACTTGGCACTATTTTTTAGCTGGAAAATAAGGATGTCTTGTCTTCGATGAGCAGACTAAGGTTTAAATGGTCCTGTCTAGCTGCATTTCCTTTGAATCTATAAAACCTATAAAAAATTTCATTAAAAATGAAATCTCGCGGATTTCGTTCCTTAAATCGTATTTTGGTAGTTTAATAGATTTAATAAAAGCATTAAATGTTCTAACCTGAAGACACCATGTTGTATTTAGAGAGTCGAGGATTGTAAATATTCCTCCTCTACGTAGACTACAATCCCCACAGGTGGAGAATATAAGAAAATATTACTTTTTAATTCATAAGTTCATCGTTTCTTGTGATGTTATTCATACATCTGTTTCTTGTTTTGTTATTCATACATCTGTTTCTTGTGATGTTATTCATACATCTGTTTTTTGTGTTGTTATTCATACATCTGTTTCTTGTGTTGTTATTCATACATCTGTTTCTTGTGTTGTTATTCATACATCTGTTTCTTGTGTTGTTATTCATACATCTGTTTCTTGTGTTCTTATTCATACATCTGTTTCTTGTGTTGTTATTCATACATCTGTTTCTTGTGTTGTAATTCATACATCTGTTTCTTGTGTTGTTATTCATACATCTGTTTCTTGTTTTGTTATTCATACATCTGTTTCTTGTGTTCTTATTCATACATCTTTTTTTTGTGTTGTTATTCATACATCTGTTTGTTGTGTTGATATTCATACATCCATTTCTTGTGTTGTTATTCAAACATCTGTTTCTTGTGCTGTTTTTCAAACATTCAATTCTTGTGTTATTATTCTTACATCTGTTTCTTGTGTTGTTATTCATACATCTATTTCTTGTGTTGTTATTCATACATCTATTTCTTGTGTTGTTATTCATACATCTATTTCTTGTGTTGTTATTCATACATCTATTTCTTGTGTTGTTATTCATACATCTATTTCTTGTGTTGTTATTCATACATCTATTTCTTGTGTTGTTATTCATACATCTATTTCTTGTGTTGTTATTCATACATCTATTTCTTGTGTTGTTATTCATACATCTATTTCTTGTGTTGTTATTCATACATCTATTTCTTGTGTTGTTATTCATACATCTGTTTCTTGTGTTGTTATTCATACATCCATTTCTTGTGTTGTAATTCAATGTTTCTTGTGTTGTTATTCATACGTCCATTTCTAGTGTTGTTATTCATACATCCATTTCTTTTGTTTTTATTCATACATCCATTTCTTGTGTTGTTATTCATACATCTATTTCTTGTGTTGCTATTCATACATCTGTTTCTTGTGTTGTTATTCATACATATGTTTCTTGTGTTGTTATTCATACATCTGTTTCTTGTGTTGTTATTCATACATCCATTTCTTGTGTTGTTATTCATATATCTGTTTCTTGTGTTGCTATTCATATATCTGTTTCTTTTGTTGTTATTCATACATCTGTTTCTTGTGTTGTTATTCATAAATCCATTTCTTGTGTTGTTATTCATACATCTGTTTCTTGTGTTGCTATTTATACATCTGTTTCTTTTGTTGTTATTCAAACATTTATTTTCTTTCATACAACTATTTTTCATTTTATTCTCGCAAATTCTCTCATTTTATTACAGAAAAAAATGTTAGAAATGAAAATTTTTCGATTTTAATTCCTCTTATGGAAGAGCTATTGAGTGGTTTTAAATTTGTAATATATAATGTCAAATAATTTTCTAATTTCTAAAGTTTTCTTGTCGTCAATGTAGTATGTTAAGATCTTAAATAAATCGAATATGGAAATGACATTATTAAGAAGTAAAAATGTATTCTTCATTGCCCATACCCTTTTTTCTATTAAAAAACATCTAATTGTATTGACATTGACTATCACTTTAGAATTTAGAATCATTTAAAATATGTTGACTTAAAATCTGAAATATCTGAAGTATCTGCATATTTAAATTATTTTCGTGCAAATTTTAAAGATATTCAATTTTAAAATCAACCTTTTTTTAAAACAAAAACAAAGTAACAACACATCCTCCATGAAAAAGCCGTCGTGGCGGATTCTAGGGGGGGGGGGGTAAATAAACCCAATAACCCCCCCTATTTACGCCCCTGATTTACAGTATTGCAAAAATTGCTTTAGATAATTTATTGATTAATGGGTTAAAAGGATAAATGACAAAGCCCTGATATTTATGTTTCTGAACTAAAATTCAAATAGAAAAGAGTATTTTCTTATTAATATCATCATCATCATTATTATTATTATCATTATTATTATTATTGTTATTATTATTATTATTATAGGTGGCTGAGGTCCCTCAAATCTATCGTGAGGATATAATACTCCCTCCCCTCCAGGTATAGAGAGTATCCCAAAAACCCTGAGAGACGACTTGACTTCTGATATTTAATGCATGACAAAGAATATAAAAAAAGAGACTGTCTGACGAGCTTTTCATAAAGTGGTTTACATTTCTTGTATTTTAAAAATTCATGAAGATATTAGATTTTAAGACAGTTTGGATTTATGAAATAAATTGAAATTTGTACCAATTTTGCAAAATCTCCGTCCATTTTGAGGATACAAAATGGTAGACCACACTTTAAAAATCTCAAGACCAGGCGTTTTTGATATCAGATGTATAAGCTGGAATACTGCAATAATTTTTTTCCTGAAAAAATGCCACATGGATCGAAGACGATATAAAGTCGTCACTAAATTCCCATGTTTATTGGAACACCCTGTAGTTTACAGTACAGTACTGCAGGTATAGTTTACAGTACAGTAATGCAGGTATAGTTTACAGTACAGTACTGCAGGTATAGTTTACAGTACAGTACTAAAGGTATAGTTTACAGTACAGTACTACAGGTATAGTTTACAGTACAGTACTGCAGGTATACTATACAGTATAGTACTTTAGGTATAGTTTATAGTACAGTACTGTAGGTATAGTTTACAGTACAGTACTTCAGGTATAGTTTACTGTAATGTACTGCAGGTATAGTATACAGTACAGTACAGCAGGTATAGTTTACAGTACAGTACTGCAGGCATAGTTTAAAGTACAGTACTGCAGGTATAGTTTACAGTACAGTACTGCAGGTATAGTTTACAGTACAGTACTGCAGGTATAGTTTACAGTACAGTACTGCAGGTATAAATTACAGTACAGTACTGCAGGTATAGTTTACAGTACAGTACTAAAGGTATAGTTTACAGTACAGTACTGCAGGCATAGTTTACAGTACAGTACTGCAGGTATAGTTAACAGTACAGTACTAAAGGTATAGTTTACAGTGCAGTACTGCAGGTATAGTTTACAGTACAGTACTGAAGGTATAGTTTACAGTACAGTACTGCAGGTATAGTTTACAGTACAGTACTGCAGGTATAGTTTACAGTACAGTACTAAAGGTATAGTTTACAGTACAGTACTGCAGGTATAGTTTACAGTACAGTACTGCAGGTATAGTTTACAGTACAGTACTGAAGGTATAGTTTACAGTACAGTACTGCAGGTATAGTGTACAGTACAGTACTGCAGGTATAAATTACAGTACAGTACTGCAGGTATAGTTTACAGTACAGCACTGCAGGTAAAGTTTACAGTACAGTACTGCAGGTATAGTTTACATTACAGTACTGCAGGTATAGTTTACAGTACAGCACTGCAGGTATAGTTTACAGTACAGTACTGCAGGTATTGTCTACAGTACAGTACTGCAGGTATAGTTTACAGAACAGTACTGCAAATAAATGAATTAAAATATTCATTTACAATGTTGATACATGAAATAAAAGATATAGTGTTTAAATAGCATGGTTCGATATAAGTTTATTCAACTTATTTATTTTTCATATTTTTCTATAAATATATAAAGAAAATTTACATGCTTCCCTGTGTGATAATCTTTTACAATGTTAACACTAAAAATATCATATTACATATATTGTTATTTTACTCCCAACACCAGGAATATACAGGAATATATCAGGAAATTGATATTTCAGAACATTCCCTAATTATGTTTATTATAATGTTAATGACATAATAATAATTGTTCTTTTTTAATTAAAAATGATACTGTTCGGACAAAACAGATTTTATTATAATTCATTTTTAAATTTCTTGTTTTTTTTACAGAAAGCTTTATCATTTGCAACACAACCCGATATCTGATTTTTGATCACAAAATCAAATTTTCTAAATACACTTGATATTTTAAACTAGATTATTTGATCTAACAGAGTTCTTTGTATGAAATATCAAAGGTTTGTTTCAACGAGTTGCAAACATATAGGGATTAGAAAATCAGAGTTTATATCAAAGGCTCAATTATTTTTTGAGCAACTCTATATCTGAAAAAGTTTCTTACTTATTCGTAAAAAAATCAAAGTTGGACCAGATTTAGTTGATTTTGGCCATTTTTTTAAATGCGATATTTATGTTTTATTATTTTTATTTTCCTAATTTTGATGTTTATTGGTAAAAAATATGTTGCTTTACCCTTGTGTACATTTCTGTATTGTTTAGACAACAAATGTGAAAGTAAATTTTGAAATTGAATTATAGAAATATTGCAAAATGAAAACTTTGATAATAATTTCGTAAAAAATCAACATTTTTTATGTCCACGACCCAAAATTGTCCAAATCTGTAAATTAACTGAGAACTATGGGATTTCCAACCAAAGATAATATATATATAGATACGCTGGCAGGTAGAAATTTTATCCTGGCATTTTATCCTCTGGATTGTTGCTCATTTATCACTTTGTTTATGCGTGATAATTCACTAAATACGTACTATAGTATCAACAATGTACACTGCATATTGTACTTAATGAAACAAGTTAATCAATGCAAATAAAACTGAGGTAGGAATTTGACTAGACAAAGTTTAAATGTGCAAGTTGTACTGAATGCCATACGTAAATTAACGCAATTTATATAAAAATCATGACATATAAAAGTACATCGAATCTAGGACAAAGTACAACTGATATGATCATAACATAAGCAAAACGCGTACTGTATGAATTTGTGTTACCTAGAAATTTAATTTTATTGGTCAAACAGGTCCAGATAGCAACACTTGAACTATACAGGATGCAATACGCGTACTGTATGTTTATATATAACACAAATGCGTATTTCCTACAGATGGCAGCAAGGGGAGAAAGGAATATAGAAAGTAATCAATTTGCTATAGATGTCGCTCGTTGCACTTTATCTCAGAGGTACAAAAATTAGTTGTCTGCTACAAGCAATTTAGGAAGGAGGTTTCTACCTGCCAGCGTATCTATATATATATTATCCTTGTTTCCAACTTACAGAAGCGAAGGATTTTCTCTCAAACAATTTTGTTGTAAAAATTCGATGAAAACATTACTCTTAAAGGTCATTAAATCAATTTTGTATTTTTTCATCTAAATTTTAGTATAGCCTTAAAATCTACTTTTAATACAAAGAATATGCAATACTAGTTATTCATAAATATGTTTCTTAAAGAATTAAGGATTGATTTAGAAATAAACCAAAATGTTCTTGGTAAAATCTACCAAACTTTACCAAACCAAACCAAACGTTGAGAAAGCCGCTAATAAATTCTTACGGTTTCTTGTAGTTTAAAATATCAACGCTAGAGACCCCCATATACGTTTAAAATCTTAAGCAATTCTGGCAGTCTTTTGATGCTGTGTCTTTAAGACATAAGTATCATTATATTTTGATTATCATCCCCCTGATTTTATGTTTTTAGTGCCTCAGATATATGAAAAGTAAATTTCTTGCGGAAGCACTGATCAATACACAACTTAAATATATTAACTACTTTCTAGTGCCGCAAAAGCAGCGTAAGACAGTTACATTTTCTCTAAATTTCTAGAGCCTCATAGAAGGCTGACTAAGCATACGGGCGAAAGTTACACAAAGCGGCAACTTTAGTTAATTATTATTAGCAGAGGGGAGGGGACACTAGAATTCGGTCCCCCAGAATTGTTTAAATCAAAGCTTTTCAGGCAGGCGCGTAGTGGAGGTTTAGTCTATATAGGTGCATTTTAGGCGCGCCGAAATTTTTTTTGTGCACCCCCTAAAAACCGGTATTAAGAAAAAAATAAAGTTCGTTATCTATATTAATCTACCTGAAGGAATACAGTTAGTCATCTGACCATATCATTTTAAAATCTAGTAGTAAAAGAGCAAAAACCTTAAAAAACAAATATTTCTTATTTTTTTACCAAATTATATTACATCATGACTAGATTACACTGGTGACAGTATCATATAAAGCTTTTTCATGATACCTAAATCTGTATTTTGTGGCGCTTTGTGAGAGAAAAGATGTCCCTTAACATTGTTGATAGAAACGTTCTAAAATTTCCTTATATAAATATTCCTTAACCAATAAATAGGCCCGGTGGGTAATGTTTGCATCTATAAACATTGTGACATTGTCGATTAAGAAGAAAACTAAGTAAAAAATCTGAATATATATGTTAGTTTACTGTTAAATAAATAAGAGCCTGACTCTGGCTCTAAGGGGGTGCATGTCTAGGGGGCACAGGGGTAACGCCCCCCCCACTAAGCGCCTTATTTCCAACCCCTTTATCTTGGTAGCCTGATACCGAATTTGAATTTGAGCCGAGGCTTAAATTTAAGCCACGGCTCAATAATGGTTGGTTCCACTTAAAACCGTATTCATTGTTTCAAGATTTAAGCCGGCACTTAATTGAAGCGATTTTTAGCGGATTTAAGACGCGGCTCAAATTTATTAAATTCGGACACTGATAATGTAAACCTTTTATATTTTATACTTAGACTATTCAATTAAGCAGAATTAATAGTTTAAAATATAACCAGGTTACAAAATAAATAGGATTAGAAAATAAAAATTTGAATTAAATTCTTGAATATTATTTTTTTTCCATGGTAATATCAACACTTGTTTAAAAAAGTCATCAAAATTAAAAAAGTTTTAAAAACTCAAATCGTTTTCAATATTTAACAGTTTCACCAATTTTAATCTAAGGCGCCAGCAGTAAAATGTTGAAAGTTTTGTAAATATATTGACAATGGGTGGAGGGGGGGGGGGGGGAAGTGTATTGGAAATCCAGATTCAAATTTGAATTTAAAGATTTCAAACTGTTAAACTTAACAACATTTTGATAAATTTCGCAATAAATAAATAAATAATATTTTAAGTAAATCAGAGATCTGAACTTTTGTGTTGCGGATCTCGAGATCGATTATTAATCTCCATTTTATTTTGCAAAATGCAGACCCACGGATATTAACAATTCATTTTTGATATCCCAAGTGGTGGTCATATCCTGCAGGGATATCCATTGGTGGTCATATCCAGCAGGGATATTCATTGGTGGTCATATCCTGCAGGGATATCCATTGGTGGTCATATCCAGCTGGGATATCCATTGGTGGTCATATCCAGCAGGGATATCCATTGGTGGTCATATCCAGCAGGGATATTTATTGGTGGTCATATCAGCTGCAGGGATATCCATTGGTGGTGATATCCAGCAGGGATATTCATTGGTGGTGATATCCTGCAGGGATATCCATTGGTGGTGATATCCTGCAGGGATATCCATTGGTGGTGATATCCAGCAGGGATATCCATTGGTGGTGATATCCAGCAGGGATATTCATTGGTGGTCATATCCTGCAGGGATATCCATTGGTGATCATATTCAGCAGGGATATCCATTGGTGGTCATATCCAGCAGGGATATCCATTGGTGGTCGTATCCAGCAGGGATATTCATTGGTGGTAATATCAGCTGCAGGGATATCCATTGGTGGTCATATCCAGCAGGGATAACTTTAACCCAGGGATCAAGTATTGATCCTCACATTCATTTAAAAGGTCCCACATTAGATATTGAGATCAAGCGTTCAAGTTTAACGATACTCAGCACAATAGTTCCGACTTATGATTCAATAATTATTCAAGTTCTGCTTTTCCTGATTTCTTAATATGTTTAGGCATCTAGAGATATATCTCTCCCTGGTGTACAGTCTGCTCATGCGCTACAGGTTTTCTCATCTTAATTCTTATGTACAGTAAGGTTAAAATATTCTTATGTACAGTAAGGTTAAAATATTCTTATGTACAGTAAGGTTAAAATAGTTTTAAGAAACATTTTCAAGAAATGCTAAGACATGTTTACAAAGGATATTTTTCACAGAAATTAAAAATGTGTGTTGCAAAATGATTTTAACGATTTTTTAAAAGTTAGAAGAAAAAAAAACAGTTAAAACAAAAATGAAAGTTTTAAATAGAATCGCCTTGAAATACCGAACTGTGTTTTCCTCTACAAATTAAGTACAGGGTGACCCACGAAGGATGATACTTCAACGCGGATTGTACAGAATTTAAACTCTCTCGTTTCTTATATTTAATTGCTTTTAAACTTTTTTCTTTACCTTGTCAAATCATTAAATAAGCCATGAAAAGACTATATTCAGGACAGAAGACTTATTTTAACCTTGGGATCGTCTTTAGGTCGTCTTTACAGTCTCATCATTAAAATGTACAGGTTGCCTTGAAATACCGAGCTCAAATCAATTTACAGAATTTAAAATGTTAAAAATTGATGAAGCTATGTTTTTCCTTTACAAATTTTGTATCTTTAAATGTACAGGTTGTTTTACTAAACATGACAGTAAAGATACAGGGTGAGTCAAAAAAAGGGTGAATAGCAAGATTTTGCAATTTATAGAAGCATTTTTTTGCAATCTCATTTTTAACAAATATGTATGAAATAAAGAAAAATGTTATAGACAATCTGAAAGACACTTTAAAAAAAATCCGCGAACCTTTTTTTTACTCAAAGTTAGATCAGTTTGAATGCCTACTTTCATAAAATTATAATTTAGATATTTTACCATTATAAAAATTCACACTATAAAAAGAATATAAAAAGATTAAAAATCATGAAAATAATATTTTTTGAAAATAAAATTGCGGATAATTTTCTCCGAAACAACTTTAAATTCCATCTCTGATCCTATCAGGATTTTAAGGTGTGATAGAATTAAACTATATTCCAGTGCTTCATTTTTCTAATCATTTAGTTTTGAGTAACAATAGGTTCGAGGAACTATCAGATTTTTTTATTTTATACATATTTGTTAAAAATGAGATTATCAAAATAATGCTTTATTATATGCAAGATCTCGCTATTCAACCTTTTTTTTACTTACCCTGCATATATTTAATGAAAAACAAAATTTGCACAAAAAGTTCAACTTTACAGCTGAGCTTTGCGAAATATGGTATATCCTCTGAAATATGGTATATCCTCTGAAATATGGTATATCCTCTGAAAGAAATATGGTATATCCTCTGAAATATGGTATATCCTCTGAAATATGGTATATCCTCTGAAAAGCTTTTAAGTCTTGCAACTTTTTTTAATTCACATAAATCATAATTCAAAGACGACCTTTAAGTCGTCTCTCACCTGTCATGTTAACTGGAACACCCTGTTTATCTAGGAAAATACACCAGAAACCATTTTATCTTTGTTTACTAAAAGAATGCATTTTCTTGGAGGATTGAAAACAAACACTTTTTATTAACAAATAATTTATTGGGATGCCTATTGTATACATATATATATATATATATATCTTCCTTGTTGTACACCACACATGCACTATATTGGGATGCCTAGTGTATATATATATATATATCTTCCTTGTTGTACACCACGCATGCACTATATCGCTATTGAGCGCAGAAATAAAAAGCACTATTTAGTCTTTTACTATTTAAAATTTTAAGACCTTTATCTTTAACCTTTATCTGCGTAACATTAAAGAAGATATCATTGGGTTTCTATCATTAAAAGAGATAAATTCTGTCAAATTCCTTCCTTCATTCTATCGCATCAATATTAATGCCGTTTTTATTGTACAGAGAAACTGCAATTGAAAAAACATTTTCTGATCAAAGGTTTAAATTTGACCAGTCCATTTCCAGTGCCAGTTCAGACTTTTTAAAATTGATGATCCCAGAAGTTGTGTTTGATCTAAATATTGTTGACCTGAATTGTGGATATTGAGATCAATGCTTGATCTTCTCTTTTTCTTAATCTTGAGATTGATTTAATTGTTTGTTTACATCCTCAAAAAGTGTATAAACTTCAACCAATGAAGTGGCGTATGCAGATTCCCGAACAGCCAATCACAAGCCGAGAAATGTATAATTTTCCGCGATCGAAATGAAGGGTTTCCAAAGTTCCCAGCTCTGGCAACATAGAAAGTGTTTGATCTAAATGTTGTTGAATTGGGACTAAAATAAGATCTATGTTGACCCAAGAGTATTAAACCAATCCATTCAAATATTTTCCAATAAATTTATTTGGTCGTCAAGATTTTATAGAGGTGCTTAAAACAAGCTCTTTTGAAAGCTAACCACTGCCCCAATATATCTAAAATGAATGAAAACGGTTTCGAATTTGAATGTAAAAATCTAAATCTAAAACCAAAATTTTTTGAAAAAAAAAATATTGTTTCATTTTTACTTTTTCTCCAAATGTTGTTGACACTTGCAACCGAATTTAAATTCAGCGAAGATATATTCATTTTTCGACCCCATCCTGTCACGGTTGGATTTGATTTAATCCGATCTTGGATTTCATATAATCCGATCCTTCCAGATTCTGGTTAAGATTCAAGATTGAGATGAAAGTGCTTTCATGGTATTCCAATTCAAACCTCACAAACTTTAATCATGGAGCTAAATCTTCCTCTTTCTAAACTTATCTTTTTGATGTTTTAAAGATAAAATATAGTTTGCAGCCCGGAATTTGTATATCTACAATTCTATCCTTTGGGATTTGTTTTGTAATTAAAGGTCTGAGGCTGGCTCTTGATTGGTCTTTGAAAAACTGCTTGGAATAAAACTATATTTTAATTTATATACTTCATGTAAAAAATAATTTACTCGTTTTTTAAATATCTATTTAATTATTTGGAATAGTTATGAATTATACGAACCAAAACGGGAAATTGTTTTGTTATCAGTGTTATCTGTGGTTAAAACAACCCCTTGATCTCTAGACTTATCTGTTTAATCTGTGGAAAAACAACCGCTTACATGCTAGACCTATCTGTTTAATCTGTGGTTAAAACAACCTCTTATATGCTAGACCTATCTGTTTAATCTGTGGTTAAAACAACCTCTTATATGCTAGACCTATCTGTTTAATATGTGGTTAAAACAACCTCTTATATGCTAGACCTATCTGTTTCACCTGTGGTTAAAACAACCTCTTATATTCTAGACCTATCTGTTTAATCTGTGGTTAAAACAACCTCTTATATGCTAGACCTATCTGTTTAATCTGTTGTTAAAACAACCGTGTGTGTGCTAGTTCTATCTGTTTAATCTGCGGCTAAAACAACCTCTTATATGCTAGACATATCTGTTTAATCTCTGGTTAAAACAACCTCTTATATGCCAGACCTATATATGAAATCTGTGGTTAAAACAATTTCTTTTATGCTAGACCTATCTATGAAATCTGTGGTTAAACAACCTCTTATATGCTAGACCTATCTGTTTAATCTGTGGTTAAAACAACCTCTTATATGTCAGACCTATCTATGAAATACGTGATTAAAACAACCTCTTTTATGCTAGACCTATCTATGAAATACGTGGTTAAACAACCACTTATATGCTAGACATATCTATAAAATCTGTGGTAAAAACAACCGCTTAAATGCCAGACCTATCTATGAAATCTATGGTAAAAACGACCGCTTAAATGCCAGACCTATCTATGAAATCTGTGGTTAAAACAAGTAAAATTCAATCCTTCTCTTTGCATTGCCGGCCCATTCTTGAAAACCCTTTATTTCTTGAAACATGACTTGAACAGTTTTAACAATCTTGTTTCGAAGCTGTCTATGTTTATTTTCCAAACATATTAGAATTTTCCAGCAATTTCCCCTCACTGACTTGGAGTGGTTTATTTCCCCTCACTGACTTGGAGTGGTTTATTTCCCCTCACTGACTTGAAGTGGTTTATTTCCCTTCACTGACTTGGAGTGGTTTATTTCCCCTCACTGACTTGGAGTGGTTTATTTCCCCTCACTGACTTGAAGTGGTTTATTTCCCCTCACTGACTTGGAGTGGTTTATTTCCCCTCACTGACTTGAAGTGGTTTATTTCCCCTCACTGACTTGGGGTGGTTTATTTCCCCTCACTGACTTGAAGTGGTTTATTTCCCCTCACTGACTTGGAGTGGTTTATTTCCCCTCACTGACTTGGAGTGGTTTATTTCCCCTTACTGACTTGGAGTGGTTTATTCAAAAGAAAAAGGGTTTTATAATTTTATAGTTAATAGATTCTTTTTTTAGGTTTCAAGGCAGGGACATCCTCAAGCTGTCAACTTCAAGACTTTAGCTGACAGGTTTATAGGCTTTATTATAGCACTTGACAGCTGACAGGTTTATATAGGTTTATTATAGCACTTGACAGCTGACATGTTTATAGGTTTATTATAGCACTTGACAGCTGACAGGTTTATAGGTTTTATTATAGCACTTGACAGCTGACATGTTTATAGGTTTTATTATAGCACTTGACAGCTGACAGGTTTATATAGGTTTATTATAGCACTTGACAGCTGACATGTTTATAGGCTTTATTATAGCACTTGACAGCTGACAGGTTTATATAGGTTTATTATAGCACTTGATATCTGACATGTTTAGATAGGTTTTTATAGCACTTGACAGCTGACAACTGATCGACTTTAATAGGTTTATCATGGCACTTGACAGCTGACATGTTTATACAGGTTTTTATCATGTTTTTATAGCACTTTACAGCTGACAGCTAACCGGTTTTTATAGGTTTAGTATGGCACTTGACAGCTGACATGTATAAAAATGTTTTCATAGAACTTGAAAGCTGACAGCTGGCTGGGTTTTAAAAGTTTATCATAGCACTTGGCAGCTGACATGCTTAAAAAGATTATCACAGCATTCGACAGCTGAGGTTTTTAAATGTTTGCACTTGACGTTGTCAAAAGCCATGGCTTTCAAATAATTTCTTATATAACGTAAAATTTTCAAAAATGAAATCAAAGAAAAATGTACAAATAAAAACCCCTAGTACATATGTATAATATTGTAAATGTATCTATATGTTTTTAATCAATCTTTTCTGCCAGGGGTATTAGGTTTGTATAATAGAAAACAATTTATTTAAAATAAATCCTAATATATATAGTGAACATATTGATATTTTTATTCAATATTTATCCGAATATATATATATCCGAATAAATTGAGATTTTTTCTGAAAGAAAAATTTCAACCTCTACTTCACATTGTAAATGATAATGCAATAAACCGTAAATTTTGATTAAAAATAAAAATAAATAAATTTGTTGCTCTAATAATCACAAAATTTTCAATAAATTTACCTAAAATACCAAAAAAAAATGTTGACGAAAAGTAACTACTGCCTCTAAACGTTAAAATTGCTACAAAAGACGCTTTATCCGACAGCGCTATAACAAGCAAAATAAGGCATACAGACGGTATCTGTTATTATAGGTCGAGTCGGTTCATTTTTCTCGTGAGATGATTCAAAAAGAGTATTTGAAGAAAAGAAATGAAAAACTTTATCTCAAAACATTTTAAATGTTGAGCAAATTTGAATTACAACAAAAAATAAATTAGATATTTTATCTAAAAAGGATTTAATTTCTGATGTCAACTATTCACTTTCATTTTATTTTCTGAAAAGAAAATTTGATTTTAAATGTTCAAATTCTCCTGACAATTGTAGACATTAAATCTAATTTAAACATTGGTTTCTATAGACAGGCGCGTAGTGGAGGGGGGGCAGTACCCCTTGCCCCCCCTTAGACATGCACAACCTAGAGCCAGTCAAGGCAGCCTCTAATTTATTAAACAGTAAACTTACATATATATTCATATTTTTTACTTTTCTTATCAATCGACAATGTTATAATTTGTCCATTTTATGATTATTTCTCAAATTCTTTCTTGTACCTTAATCTTATTTACAAATTTTTTTTCGTGGGGTTTCATTTAAAATGATTGGTAATTATGGTCAGATGACTAATAGTCAACATTCAGGTAGATTAATATAGATTTAAACTTTATTTTTTCTTAATACCGTTAGGGGGTGCACAAAAAAAAAATTTCGCCAAAAGTGCACCCCCCTCCACTACGCACCTATTATAGACCAAACAAATCTTACATAAAATATATAAAAATACTAGCATACTGTTATAAACTGGTTTGCGCTCTTATTTAATAATGCCATGTACTGGTTTATACTGGTATGTTCTGGTTTATGCTTATATATGCTGGTTTATACTGATACATACTTGTTTATATACTGTCATGTACTAGTTTATACTGTCATGTACTAGTTTAAACTGTCATGTACTGGTTTATACTGTCATGCACTGGTTTAAATTGTCATGTACTGGTTTATACTGTCATGTACTAGTTTAAACTGTCATGTACTAGTTTATACTGTCATGCACTAGTTTAAATTGTCATGTACTAGTTTATACTGGCATGTACTAGTTTAAACTGTCATGCACTAGTTTAAATTGTCATGTACTGGTTTATACTGGTATGGACTCGTTTAATCTGTCCTGTATTGACTTATCCTAGTATGTACTGTCATGTACTGAACTTTACGGTTAATATACTAGTGTATATCTCATGAACTGGTTTATTCTGGTATGTACTTTCATGTACTAGTTATACTGTTTTGTATTAGTTTATACTATGATGTGCTGGTTTATATTATCATGTACTGGTTTATACCATCATAAATTTATTAATACTGGCATATGTACTGGTTTGTATGTGCTACTTTAAAATGTTTTGTACTAATTAATACTAATTAATCCTTCTGTCATGTACTGGTTTATGAAAAGAGTTTGGTTTATGTCCTTGTTGTTCTGAACTATTTATTGTATAGACAAGAGGAAAGAATGAGCCGAGCTGAGCTTCTAAACCTTCTTGAGAAAGCTGTCAAAATGAGGTGAAATCAAGTTAAATTTAATCTTAAAATGTATTTTTTGTTCAATTAAGGTTTTCACACTTCGGGGTTTTACAGGGTTTCTCACAACTTTTTTCTTTTAATTTGTTGTTCCCTGAAACTACAAAATTGTTCCTTTCTTAAAATCTATAAGTAATAAGTAATAAGTAGTCCATTTAAAGGCAAAATTCAAAATATCAAGGAAGGAAAACTAATATTTTTGATAAGTTCCTTCTCGTGATAATAGTCTCATCCTTTGTAGGTACCCTACCCTGTATGTGACTTAATAACAATATGAAATTTTAATAAATTATGAAAATTTTATCCTAAAAAGATAATTATAAAATTGATTTTTTTTTTCAGAGGAACTTCAATGAACAACCCTTCCCGTGCACTCAGATACGGATTCTTCTAAAATTGAGAAATCCATCAAATAAAAGAAAATCCGCGAAACTTCTAGATTTAAGATTCTAACTTTAGTCCACAAATCTTCATAATTGAAAACCATTGTATTATTAAGTTGCTTCATGTTCATGTTTTTAATATATTAAATTAGATCAATAATGAATACAGAGGATAATAATAATAATAAAAATCATTCGGAGTAAAAGTAGAAAAAAGACTTGTAAACCTCGGAATGTATTTAATTAATATATTAAGAAACTTTAATATATGTTATTTAAAAAAAAATATAATTATTGAAACTCTTTAATGCTTGATCTCAAAATCCAATGTGGGCATTTTTAAATTTGAGGATCAATGCTTGATCCCTTTATGCTAGTTAACCCCGGAGGGGAAAACCCATCACGGGATAGTAGGTAAGTAAGGAAAAGGTAGAGAACGGGAAGGTAGGGAAGAGGAAGAGGGAAGGTATGGAAGGGGAGGGTATGAAAGAGGAAGGTATGGAAGGGGGAAGTTACGGAAGGGAAGGTATGGAAGAGGAAGGTATGGAAGGGGAAGGGATGGAAGGGGAAGGTGTGGAAGGGGAAGGTATGGAAGGGGAAGGTATGGAAGGGGAAGGTATGGAAGGGGGAGGTATTGAAGGAGAAGGTATTGAAGGGGAAGGTAGAGCATGGGAAAGTATGGAAGAGGAAGGATTGGAAGGAGAAGGATGGAAGGGGAAGGTATTAAAGGGCAAGGATAAGTTATGGAAAGAGAAGTTATTAAAGGGGAAGGTAGTGAAAGGGAAAATTATGAAGGAAAAAAATACAAATAAAATTTTTTACCTCCGCGTACAACATTATAATTGAGTCAAGAATATTTTGTGTTCAAGTAAACACCAAACAAGAAATCCATTTGGGATTTTTATCCAATAATTTGGCGAAGAAAATCAAAAACATTTTAGTGTGTGTGGGAGGGAATTTTATACAATCCTGTTTTGCAATGCTAGTTTGAACGGTTCTGTCCATTTAAAAAATTTCCGGCTCTGTAAATTTTCTCTGGAGGTAATGGTTTGTTAAATTTATCCTTGGAGCTTCTCAAGTATTGAGTGTACAAGGGAGATAATATGTTACCTACCGCATATCAGGGATGTTAAATATGTGGACTCCCTTCCTAGAAAAAAAAACAATCTGTGGGACTGAAGAAGACACAAAATTATATTGATGTTCTTCTGTTTCAAGAGAGGAAAAAGCGATTTAGTTCCGTAAATGCGTCAAAACAGAATATCAAAATCTTTATTTTGTGATTTTTAGAGTTTTGGGTTATCATTGAAGTGTCATCCTTTGTCGGTGACCTAGATCCTGCAGTTTTACATTTGCAACATGGCTTATTCCTCAAGTTTTCCTTTTACAAATATGGTTGCACAAAAACATCTAAAATAATAAATCGTCCTAAAAGTATCATTCTTTTTGAACTAAACATTAAGTTTATTAAAATCTATAAAGCTTTTTAAGAAAAAAAGTATTACCTAATAATATAAAATAAGTTCAAAAATACTTTTTAACGTTTTTATTTGAAACATTAATTGAAAGGGGTATGAAAAATTTTTAAGCAAAAATTGGCAAAAAAATTTTGTTCTTATTTCAATTCTTTAATATATGTCGGATCGAAAACAATTCATTTCTAAGAAGATAAGAAGTTAAGAATTTTAATTAAAATTCTTTCGCGTTGATTAGGAATATGCAAGTTCATTAATTCTTTTGTCTCATTTCAATGGATTAAAATTTTAACTAAAATAAGTTTTATTATCTTCATTTTCATGAAACTTTACAAACTTACATAGGTTTTAAACTTTTAAAGGGAGTGTTCGCGAAAAATGAAAGGGAGTGTAGGCTTACGGCGAAAAATAAGCGCTTTTGATTGCTACTAATCTTACTTCTATCTGTTGCGTCTATAAGGGGAAAATTGTTAAAAACTACTTATACCGAAGAACGTAGCGTCCATACAAATTCAGAAAGTTGCAATATTCAAAGTTGCAATTATTCGACGCATTCATATATAGTTGATAATTCATAATATTTTTTCATTTTTCATGATCTGATAGTTACTTTTGAAAACTATTCCTGTTTCGAGGATTTTTGATAATGAAGACGACATTTTCATATTTTCCAGGAATGTTCGAAAATCCAGAGCAAGCGAAATATTATATAAAAAATAAAATCAAAAATATTATGAATTATTAACTATATACGAACGAATGCGTCGAAAAGTAATCGATGACTATTGTTTGTAATATCTGAATGATTTGTTTGGAATTAAATCGATTATTTTACGATCCGAGTTGAATGTTGCAACTTTCCGAATTTGTATGGACGCTACGTTCTTCGGTATGAGTTGTAACAAGTTTCTCCTTATAGACGCAACAGATAAGAGTAAGATTAGTAGCGATCAAAAGCGCTTATACTTCGCCGTAAGCCTATACCCCTTTCATTTTTCGCGAACACTGCCTTTAAAGTACAAGAAATTTCCTAATTTATTTAAGTTAAGACGATGATATCGAGAAAATAAAAACAGAGAAGGCTTATGATTTTTAAAACACTTTTAAACCTAAAACGACAATATTTTGAACATTATTGCTCAGATAAGGTTTTAGGTGTACCATTGTGAATCGGATATTGCCATGATTGGATGGAGGATCACTTGAAGTTACGCTTTCAGCCCCTTTAAGTTAACAGTCTTTGCGTAACATGAAAGCGTATAGAAAATATTATGTTTAAAAAAGTGTAAAATTGTTCCCAGAAAATTAGGATAATCTAGGTTTTGCAATAGCTCAGCCCGTAATTGGGACTTTTAACTTGTGGAAAGTAATCTAATCAATGTAAAATTGCAGATTTAATAATACAGGGTGGGAAATTTTTTAGTTTCAGTTTTCCAACCTAGAATTTCGAATCTTTATCTTACCGAACAAAATGATGCAACTTTTGCAAATTATTACGCTAGTTACTGAAAACATGGGTATATATTTTCAAGAAAAATTACACTTCCCCCCCCCCCTCCCTCCCTAAGTCATTTATGAAAAAAATAAAAATAGGAAAACAAAATGATAATTAATCACCCTCAGTAATATTTTTTCCCAAAAAAATTTAATTACCCCTAAAAACTTTAATTTAGCCAATTAAGCTAGTAATACCCTATCTTAATTTGGCGGTCCGCTAAAATACACCTTACATCTGGGGGATTTGCCAAGAAAATATATACCCCTTTTCTCAATTCCAAGGGGAGGCCAGGGGCTCCCTCCCTGGAAGAGCCCCACTAAGTCAGTCTCTGTAATCCCTGTTCGGGATTTTTATCTAAGAATCTCTTTCTTGTCACTGAATAAAAAAATAGTTTTACACAATGCACAGATTAAATATGTATTTCTACGAGAAGCAATGTATTAGAACCCAAACAATTTTATAATTCATGAGGTTCAAGTTCAGACCAACTTTAGTTTACAGTCTACAGAAAGTCTAGTTTAAGCTGGTGTTTTGGCTTCCTATTGGTCGATCGATCAACCAATGGGGAGCCTCCTATTTACAGCTGAACTAAAAAGTTCGAATAAAACTGTCGATTTGAGAACAGAAAATGATAAGGTAATAGTTATAATTGTAACAAATAAAATAGAAATGGTACAACAAATTTGTTAAAACTGGATTTTAAAATTTAATTAAAAATATAAAAAATAATGAAGTGAAACTATATTAAAGTTTAACTGGTGCAAGTTTTAGAATAATAAAAATCTCTGTTCTCAAATAAAAAATAATTTTTAAAAATACATCACTAACAGTCTGCATTCTTGAAGTAAAGCATAGAAAACAGCAATTGTTATTACTTTTGGGTAATTTCATCTTTTACTTAATTTAAAATTTAATAGAATGGAAGAAATTTATTTGGAAAATGTGCTGCATAGGATATAAAAGATCGGATCAATGGAGGTCAAAAATGGTTCTGAATGTTGAGAAAATGTGTAGCAAAATGATTAATTCCATTTTTTAAAAAGTTTGAATTCTTGGGCAAAACTATCAATTTTATTTTTCATTTCAAGACTAAATGAGATTTTTTTCAGGTAAAAAATGTTTTCTTGTGAAAAATACTGATTTTTTTCATAAAGACTGAAAAAAGTCTATGAATTGTAACTCCACTAAATACACCTAAAATAACAATCGTGGAAACCAGTTTCAGGAATATTTTTATCCTAATTGAATATATGAAAATTAACCAGATTACAATGTTTACTTTTAAAATTGGCGTGAAATAAGGAGTGCTAAGTTAAACTGGCGTTGATGGTTTTACATAATTTTACAAAACGGTTAGTTAATATAAAAAATAGCATAGTTAATGTAACGATCACAATTTACAATAATATTTACATGTTAAAATATTTATGAAATTGCAATGTTGACTCAAAACAGATTTTTTGTTTCAAATTTCTAGTCCAAAATCTAAATTTTAGATCGAGAGTCACGAGTCACGAGTCTTGAGCCTTGTGCCAAGAGTCACGAGTCACGATTTAAAAATCCAGAATCTTGGAACTAGTTGGGGTTTATTAGAAACAGAATGAGTCAAGTCAAGATGTATCTATGACATCTAGTCATATATTTATATACATACATATGTCATATATATTATATATTTATACAAATATATACAAACATATTTTTTACATATACAGAAATATTTTAGATAAAAATTATCAAGATCTATTTACAAATATCAAATTAGAAGACTGTTTTGTTTTGCATCAATTTCAATTTAAAATCAGAAAGATGCATCCTATAGTTTCAACACCACTTAGAGCTAGCAAAAGTATCTAACCCTGATTTGCACAGAGTGTACACCGCCCGGTTACTGTACAGTAATGTACAGTACAGTACATGTTTTTATACTCACTACTTGGGATATCTTGAGTTTTACATGTACAGAAACCTGTCAAATGAGTATAATATGGCGCTCATGCAGAATGCATTATCAATATTGTTACAAAATTTCACTACATTATTTGATACACCTACTAAAATATTTATATGCATTCTTAGTGGATTTGCTAATATTACTCTGATTAAAAACGTGATTTAAATACATTTAAAGGCATCGACGAAGGTTGGTATAGTAAAACCAATTGCATAAAAACAAAACTATGCTGTTTACAAAGCATTGCAATGCCGACTAAAGTAATTTTCTCACTAACATTGTTCTACACGGAGTAAGTTTTTATGGCAAATACGAATATATATTTGAGACTGTCAAGAGGAGCTGAGTGACCTCTACGCCCGGTTTTCTTGCTGCTGCTGACCTCGGTTATCTATAAGATCTAGAGGTCGGTTGTCAATATGTCTGTTTTCAATAATCCTGTTCTCCAGGGGTCTGTTCTCAATAATCCTGTTCTCTAAGGGTCTGATCTCAATGGTTCTGGTCTCCATACCCCCGGTGGCCCGGTTTTCAATACAGATAGTTTGTGTTTGTGTCGGAAGTAAAATATGTTTGTGTGAGGTTCTTCTGTGTGCGTTCAACGTACTCTTCATCCCAAACTCTTTGTCGCACTCAATACATTTATGTCGAACTTTCTCGTGTACAGCGGCGACATGGGTTCTCAGGTAGCTCTGACTTGTCGCCTTGAATTCACACTGCGGACACGGATACCGTATTCCCAGGTGAACCTTCTTCTGATGCAGGCGTAGACTTTGCAAGGTGTTCGTGATGTAGTCGCAGTCTTTACACTTGAACTCAATACCGCTGTGGAAGGCTTCAACGTGCTTGTTGAGGGAGCAGGCTGAGGACGCCTTGAAGTCACAGTGGTCACAGGGATGCTTGATTCCGTCATGTATGGCCTGAACATGCTTCTTGAGATAGCTGGCGGTTGTAGATTTATAGTCGCAGTGTGGACAGGGGTACCTTAAACCAAGATGAACTGATTTGTGATGGGTTTTGAGACCGTTGGCAGTGTTTGCTACATAATCACATTTCTCACACGGATATTTGTTCCCGCTGTGAAATGCCTCGATGTGAGTGGTGAGAGCGCTGGCGGACGAAGCCTTGAAATCGCAGTGATCGCAGGGATGCTTTACCTTCTCGTGCACAGATCTAATATGTATCTTGATATAGCTGGAGGTGGTGGATTTATAATCACACTGAGGACATGGATACCTTAAACCTAAATGAACACTTTTCACGTGAAACCTCAAGGTTTGCGATGTGTTGGATATGAAGTCGCACTCCTCGCAGGCGAAGGAGAGCCCGCTGTGAAAGGCTTGATGGTGTTTGTTGAGGGATCCCTTGCTGGAGGCCTTGAAGTCACACTTGTCGCAGGGGTGCTTCACCTTATCGTGGATAGCATCGATGTGCTTTTTGAGACTCATCTTTCTGTTGGTAATGTAGTTACAGGTAGGGCACTGGAACGGTCCAACCACATTTTCGTGTGTACTTATCCGCGGCAACTGCCCTTCTTGTGGACCTTGTGTTGTATTCTGTAGAACAGGGGTACCTGGTTTAGAGTTGTTCTCAAGCTTAGGTTTGATCCCGATGTGAACAGATTCAATATGGGACTTCAACTGCTCCTCATTGTTTCCCTTGAAGTCGCAGTGTGCGCAGGGGAACCGTAGACCGATATGAACAACCTTCTCGTGATAGCGCATGTTTGCCGCGCTGTTTGTCACGAAATCACACTCGCCGCAGAATACGGAGACGTTGCCGTGCGCTTCTCTGTAGTGGTTCTGCAGCATAACCTTAGACCGGGCCTGAAGACCACATTTATCGCAGGGATAGGTCGGGGCCTGGTGAACAGATTCCAGATGAGAAATCAAGTAGTATCTGCACAAATATATCTCATTAAACATGGCGTAGAAAAAGTATGATTTTAAAACCAGAAATTAATATATTTTATAATATTATATATATAAGAGTATTATGTTAAAGCAATAAATTTAAATCATCGTTTTGAGATTAAATGTATTAAGAGAAAACATTAGAATCTTACAATTTATTATTTGGAGAAATGCGCTTTAAAGGTAATTATTGAAAGAAATTGAATAAAAGATTGAATGAAATTAATATGATGTAATTCAAATGTTGGTTTAAAGCAGATTTGAAATCTGCCAGATCAATGAGTATATTAATGAGTATATTAATGAGTATATTAGTTCCTGTTTGAGGTTTTGAAAGGACATTTGTCACACTGGAATATATCTTCAACCTTGTTTATCTGCGGCTTCTCTATCTGAACCTAAACAAAATTTTTATTAGTTGGGCAATCTGCACCAATTTATATAAGTTGACCAATCTGCACCAATTTATATAAGTTGACCAATCTGCACCAATTTTTATAAGTTCAACAATCTGCACCAATTTATATTAATTGACCAATCTGCACCAATTATATTAATTGACCAATTAGCACCAATTTTATTAGTAGACCAATCTGCACCAAATTTTGTTAATTGACCAATCTGCGCCAATTTATATAAGTTGCCCAATCTGCACCAATTTATATTAATTGACCAATCTGCACCAATTATATTAATTGACCAATTAGCACCAATTTTATTAGTAGACCAATCTGCACCAAATTTTGTTAATTGACCAATCTGCGCCAATTTATATAAGTTGCCCAATCTGCACCAATTTATATTAATTGACCAATCTGCACCAATTATATTAATTGACCAATTTGCGCCAATTTTATTATATGACCAATCTGCTACAATTTTTATCAGTTGACTAATCTGCACCAACTCTTTTTGGCTAAAAATCTGCACAAATTCTTACTAGTTATTATTTTGCATCAATTTATATCAGTTCACCAACTTCATAACGAATATGTATCTACTTTTTCTTCCCCAAAAATTCGATGAAAAGTATTGAACTATATACCTTGTATCTATTCTATATACCCTGTATCTATATACCCTGTATCTATATACCCTGTAAATTGATTAAAATAATGATACAGTGTTGGAAAGTGAACTATATACCCTGTATCTATATACCCTGTAAATTGATTAAAATAATGATACAGTGTTGGAAAGTGAACTATATACCCTGTATCTATATACCCTGTAAATTGATTAAAATAATGATACAG